TGCGGCTTCTTGCGTGGGACAATATGTTCAAGAGAATGGCCGAATTTGGGCCTGACTCCGGCGGGAGAGTGAAGGTCAGTGCCCGGCCGCGCACCCCTTCCGGTGGTGGCTCTCTGGTCTCGGCCCGTCCGTGCGCCGTGCGGGGAGGCCCTGCTTGGTTCCGTTTCGCGCCGTGTTTTCGGGTTCCACCCGGATTTCCAGGCGGAGAGCGAGTCAGCCGTGGTGTAAACAGTGTTGATTGGGCCCCACCTTCTCCGCGTCACAGCCACCTTCCTTCCCCGCCAAAAAAACAAACATAAACCAGCCTGTAGCTTGGTAGACCTGGCGTGTCCGCTGAGGAATCAGGCCCCTCGGATGGCAGGAAAAGCCTGGTGTGGTGCACATTTCGCGGCTATTCCAGGTCGTTGGTAAACTGGCCTCCACCGCCTGCCCCAGTTTGAGACTAACAAATAATAGATGAACACTGACCCGCAGTATCTACAAGTGCGGTAACAGGCACAGACGCCTGGAAAAGATAAGTAAATTTGCCCTCGTTTATGGCGTTCACAGGGTCCCAGTGCTCCGCCAGGTTGTTAATCAAGGCATGCAAAGAACACAACTCTGCCCGACATAGAGGACACTTTGGGTTAATGTCAGCTTTTGAGTCTAACGAATACTGCCGTGGAGCCTAACGTGACGTTTGACATCTTGACACTTACCTCCATCTTTCCTGCATCCCTGGCACTTTTTTTTTTTTTGGAGAGGTTTCTGCTATAGAGTGCATGCGCTCGCCAGAGAGACAGAGAGAGAAAGCGAGAAATCACCTCCCAGGGGGGATGGTCACGCCGCAATCCCTTCTCCTCCATTCTCCTCTCTGGATCTTGGGCAAGCACGCACACGCGCCCAACGTGAGTTTTAAGTCACCCGGTCCGGGACGCGAACCGCGGTCGACTACTTTGGAGTCCAGCGACATAGCCATTACACTAACTGCTGTTTCCCAATCATGTTAGGTTTTAAAAGTTTGTATATTTTCAGTCCAGAGTTCTCAAGTGCTTATTTACTAAAATAGTCACATAAAGCTTCACAACTAGAGATTTATTTCTCCTCGTTGCTGATTGGTATGCATTCTTTTAAGCATCTTTTTTCCCAGTTTTGATCAATTTTATTCAGGTAGAAAGTCTGTTTAGATGGGGTCCACCTTTTATCATCAACAAACTGCAAGCTCCCGGTGACACTGTAGCATTTATGGCATCTGTTACACATCAGTGCTCTGGTTCAGTCAGGCCTTAAAGCTGAGCTCCACCTATGGATAAGTGCCTTTACACTTACTAGGTGTGATGTGAAACATGTACGCGCAGCTCAGAACTGTGCACCAGTGTTGTAGCAAACGTGCCATCAGCCAATGTTTATCATGCTTCATCCAAGTACCACTTGACCATTTAAAATTCTATTTTTAAAGCTTCTTCCTATGCAGTAATATTTTTGTAACTGTAGATTTGAATGTCTACCTATTATATGGTTTTTCTAATACTGATTTTTTTTAAGTTAATAAAATGAAAAATGTTTGTCCTTATTCTACCAAAATCCTCTCTTAAACTTCCTTTGTATTTGTACTACATTGCACTTTGGTAAACACTGCCATAGGCTAATAATAAGGACATTACCATCAAAGGATGCTAGTCAGACTGGCGGTTTTTACTCCAAAGCCTAGCTTTTAGGTTTGTAAGTAAAGGGCCTTTTCTATTTCCTTTAATAAAACTCTCAAAGTACCTTACGTGATCTAAAAAGACACTTTCAAACCGGGAACATTGTAATTTGTTATTCAGATATTGGTATTAATGTGAAATGAAATGTATCAGAACTTGATTTAAGAGAATTCATCTTATAAGCAAATTCTTGATTGCTGTTCGACTGTATTCCTTAAAACAAGCTTTCAGAGCTCTTATTCTATTTATTTAAGTAGTGGTACAATATTTATTGGTTTTTAAATTATTTTTCTTTTAGGGGGTTACCATCGTTAAGCCCATAGTTTATGGTAATGTTGCTCGATATTTTGGGAAGAAACGAGAAGAAGATGGACACACCCATCAGTGGACAGTCTATGTGAAACCATATAGAAATGAGGTAGGCACTTGTTTTTTTATCATTTGTTTTTGGAACTACAATTTGTTTTACTTGATGATAAATAATTTTTATAGGGAACCAGCAGTTAGCGTAATGGCTATGTCGCTGGATTCCCACGTAGTCGACCACGGTTCGCGTCCCGGACCCGGTGGCTTAAAAACTCACGCCGGGCGCGTGTGCGTACGTGCCCAAGATCCCGAGAGGAGAATGGAGGAGAAGGGATTGCGGCGTGACCATCCCCCCTGGGGGGTGATTTCTCGCTTTCTGTCTCTATGTCTCTCTCTGTCTGGCGAGCGCACGCGCCCTATAGTGAAAACCTCTCAAAAAAAAAATAGTAATAATAATAATTTTTATAGTAACTTTCTGATTATAAGATTGGCCCATTATAGAATGTTGCTCCCCAAAATTTGAATTAGTGAGAACTGTCATCTTTATATAGATATTAGAATCAATTTTCAAAAAGTTTCTAAGTTAAAGTAACAACTGTTGTTTTATAAACACAGTGCAATTGCATGTCCCTAACATGACATATTAATTTTACATAGTGTTTAATCAGGTGTTTTGGGAATAGCAGGTAATACATAAAGTGATATTGTAGTGAATGAGACCATCAGGAAATGTGAGAAAGTTCTGATATATCATCTGGTTGCTGGGAATTTCGTTTTGCTGCTGAATCTCTAATGCCTAGAACACAGAAAGTACATAGTAAGTACTTAACAGATACTTACTGAATGATTAAGTTGCTTACTATATTTAAAACTCTTCGAAGTTCACACAGAAACTTACATATGAATGTTCATAGCAGCATTATTCACATTAGCCAAAAAATGGGAACAACCAAAATACCTGTCAACTATGAAATAAAATGTATAAGTATACAGTGGTATATTATTAGGCAGTAAGAAGAAATTGATACATGTTAGTACATGGATGAAACTTAGAAGCATTATGCTAAATTTGAAAAATCAGACACAGAAGACCACATGTTTTCTGATTCCACTTGTATGAAATATCCAGAATAGGCAAAGCCATAGATACAGAGCATAGATTAGTGGTTGCCAGTGGATGGGAAGAATAGGAAATTGCTAGTGAGTGCTGATATATGGGGTTTCATTTTGCATGATAAAAAATATTCTAAAATTGATTGTGGTGATGATTATAAAATTGAATATACTAAAAGTCATTAAGTTGTATACTTTAAACAAATAAATTGTATGGTATCTGGATTATATCTCAATAAAGCTGTTATTTAAAGAAAAAGATTCCTCAATGACTACATATTGCCCTCATGACAAAGTTAAATTATACATAAGCACATGTGTGCACACACACATATGCATACAGATACTCCCAAGAGGGTCTTTATGCTGTAGTCCACCCCAGTCTCAGCCAGCCCATATCACAGGCACGTGCTTGTGCATCCTGTGCTCAGAGAGGACCTGGAATGCAAACCTAGGACATTTCCTACATGGATCCAGGTGCATTACCACTGCGCCACCAGGGTCCCGAAGTTTAAATTCTTTTATCCTGTTTTAGAGAATTCGCCATGGGGCCAGCCCTATAGCAGAATTGTTAAGCACTATATGTTGGGAGCCAGATCTACATGGCTAATTGCTGTTCAGGTCCCAGCCCTGGCAATAATGAAATACACATGGGGTATGTATGCATACCCCAAATCCTGATCAGAAGGAGAAATGGAGGAAAAGGACTACAGTGTCATAATCCCCCCCCCCGCCCGGGGCTGTTTTCTCTCTCCACCACCTCCCCTACTCTGGTGAGTGCCTGTGTCTTCTGGCAATAAAAAGATTGGAGAGAAAGTCTACCATCGTCTTTCCCTGTCCTCAAGTTCTATAGCCTTATCTCATCTGTGCCTCATTATTTCCTCATACTCTACATTCTGCCTATACTAATGCTCTCAGTTTCCCAAAAGAGCATCCCTAAACCTCTTCCTTCATTCCATCCCACCCACTCTATTCATGTTGATTCTTTTTTTTTTTAAGCATTATTTTATTTTATTTATTTATTTTTAATTTGCTATAGGGCATGTGCACTCAGCAGAGAGAGAGAGAAAGAAGGAAAGTGAGAAAGCAAGCTATCAGGTCCAGGACTCAAGACTCAAACTACGGTCAGCTATGTGGAAGTCCAGTGCCCTAACCACCATGCCACCTACTGGCACCATGTTGATCCTTTAAGTGTTAGTTCAAATGTCATTTTCTTTGGAACCTTCCTGATTTTCTATGACTAAATTAGATGCTCCCCCTGTCGATTTCTGTCTGCTCCACAGTGAAAGTCTGAGGATAAGGCTGTATTTTATTTACCATTGTATACCTAGCATGTGGCATAGCAGTGTGGTGTAGTGACTCACATATTTGTAGAAGAAATAAATGAAGTATTCCTAAGACTCTTCAAAGATGCATATGAAAATCTGCCTTAGGAAAAAATCCTCATAATATATAACAAGAGTTAAAAGGCAGGGTATTAAGATATAGTATAGGACCAGCTCCATGGCCTGGTGATTAAGGCAGCCAGATCCCATGTGATCCCAGTCACGTGGCTCAAGTCCTGGTCCTAGCAGGTTGAAGAACATGCCTGGTGTGTGCGTGTGTGTGTGTGTGTGTGTGCGCCAAAAATCCCGAGAGGAGAATGGAGGAGAAGGAATGTGGCCTGGCATTTTCCTAGGGGGTGGTTTCTCATTTTTCCCTCTTTGTTGTCTCAATCTGTCTGTCTCTTCTGGCAGGTGTATATGCTCTATAGCAAAAACTAATGAAAAAAAAAAACGAAAGAAAGAAATGAAAACCTTCCTGCCTTCAAGGATCTTGTAAGATTCCCCTCCCCTTCTCTTTTTCTTTCTTTGAGACCAGATAAGGCTAGTATGTACAGAAAAAGAATCAGAAGTCGGGTAGGGTCTTTGTCCTGGGCCTTTCCTGCCCTAAGCCTTCTGTTCTTGGGTGCATTCTGGTCTTACAAGTACGTCCACCTATGCCTTCCTGTGCCCCATTCCCCTCATCCCCTGCTCCAACACCGACAAAAGGGCTGGCCCTTACACCTCATGCATCCTTTCATTTCTTTTTCAGGAAGTGCTGGGCCCTGGGAAATCAAGAAAGTAGAATGAGCTGGGGTAAAAAGAGGAGTCCATCATGAAATAGTAGCATATACACTTAAAAGGTAAACAGGAAAATCTCAGAGGCTATTTTTTTTAAGGTTTTTATAGTAGGATGCATGAGCTCTTGAGAAAAGAGAGAGACAGAGAGAGGGAAAGTGAGAAATCAGCCCCAGAGGGAATGGCCATGCCATAGTCCTCCTCTAGGGAATTTTTTAGGCATGCACACACACACACACACACACAGCATGATTCTCAAGCCACTGGGTCCAGGACTTGAACTACAGTTAGCCATGTGAGAATCCAGTGCCTTAACCAGAACACCACCTGCCGAACCATCAGAGGCATTTTTAACAGTGCGGTAGCACCGTAGCGGGGAGCTCTTGGTGTGTATTACACTGGAACAATCCACAGGTGCCCTTTTGTCACATACCTGCCTGGCCCTGCGTTCAGTGAGAGGGCTGTGCCTGAGGGCGGTAGGGGGCTAGAGGAAGAGCTGATGAAGAATGCATCTGGGCATCTGGAAGGGTCAGGCTCACCTTCAAGGCCAGGGGCCTGGAGATCCAGAGGACGATGATGCCTCTAGTCAAGGTGTGGTTAGCTCTTTCCTTTCTTTCTTCTTTTTTTTTCCCCTCTTTTTTTTTTTTTTGAGATTTTGTTATAGGACATGTGCTCTCCAGAAAGACAGAGAGAAAGAGACAGAAAGCGAGAAATCATTCCCTGATGATGCCCATGCCACAGTCCCTTCTCTTCTATTCTTCTCTTGGGATTTTGGGCATGCATGCACATGTACCTAGCATGAGTATTAGGCTACCGGGTCCGGGACTTGAACTGTTGTTAACTATGTGGGAGTCCAGTGGCGTAACCATTACACCATCTGCTGCTCCTGGTGTGGTTAGCTCTTAGCCGGTTCATGTGCCCAAGGGTAAAGGTTGCCATGTGTGGTCCCTTGGCTGATGGGCTGCAGGAACGGGGCAGGGGGGCCACACAGAGCTCTACCTGCATGTGCCCACGTGACCCTACTGGGGCACACTCCAGCAGGCAGGTAGAGACATAATGGCGCTGGCACTGGAGTTTTAGTGATGCTTTTACAAATCCCTGCCTCAACCATGCCAGCCTCACCCGGACTCTCCCCTTGGAATTTACTCTTCTTTCCATCATTCCTTCAGTCTTCATCCCAAGGAAGACGATGGCACTTTGTTGAAGCGACCATAATTTACCTTGGTGTTTTCCCACAGGTTCAGAAGTAGCCCTGTCATTGCAGTTGTCATCCCAAAGGCACCTTCCCTAACAATAGCCAGGCCTGCATGTGCTAGACACAGTCCTGTGTGTCTTATGTAGACTAACTTCTTTAGTCCTTGTAGCAGTCCTGGGAGGGAGACACTGTTATGATCCCCATTTTACAGATGCAGAATTGTTAAGCACTATATGTTGGGAGCCAGATCTACATGGCTAATTGCTGTTCAGGTCCCAGCCCTGGCAATAATGAAATACACATGGGGTATGTATGCATACCCCAAATCCTGATCAGAAGGAGAAATGGAGGAAAAGGACTACAGTGTCATAATCCCCCCCCCCGCCCGGGGCTGTTTTGTCTTTCCCCCACTCAAACTACGGTCAGCTATGTGGAAGTCCAGTGCCCTAACCACCATGCCACCTACTGGCACCATGTTGATCCTTTAAGTGTTAGTTCAAATGTCATTTTCTTTGGAACCTTCCTGATTTTCTATGACTAAATTAGATGCTCCCCCTGTCGATTTCTGTCTGCTCCACAGTGAAAGTCTGAGGATAAGGCTGTATTTTATTTACCATTGTATACCTAGCATGTGGCATAGCAGTGTGGTGTAGTGACTCACATATTTGTAGAAGAAATAAATGAAGTATTCCTAAGACTCTTCAAAGATGCATATGAAAATCTGCCTTAGGAAAAAATCCTCATAATATATAACAAGAGTTAAAAGGCAGGGTATTAAGATATAGTATAGGACCAGCTCCATGGCCTGGTGATTAAGGCAGCCAGATCCCATGTGATCCCAGTCACGTGGCTCAAGTCCTGGTCCTAGCAGGTTGAAGAACATGCCTGGTGTGTGCGTGTGTGTGTGTGTGTGCGCGCGCACGTGTGCACCCAAGATCCCAAGGGAGGGAGAGATGGAAGAGAAAAGATTGGGGCGTGACCGTCTCCCATGGAGGGTGGTTTCTTCTCTCTCCTTATCTCTCTGGCACACATACCCTATAGCAAAAAAAAAAAAAAAAAGATTATAATGCAGCTTAAGCCCAATTTTTAAAAAAAAAAAATGTATGTAAATATAAGCCCACAAAAATGTTCTGAAAGCAAATAAAAAGGTTATATAGTTATTTCTGTAGAAATGCCAAAAATGTACTATTGTTTTTATGAAAAAATCAAAATTGATTTAGAATATTATCTATGAAGGCATATAAAAACATTTGCAAATCAAGTGATTTAGGGAAATACATATATATAAGTATATATTATGAATTTACAGGTTTTCTTTGAAAAATTGTAAGACCACTTCCCTGATACAATTCATATTTTTTAGAAAATTGGATTCCATAAAATTTGAGTTAGAGCCAGCTGTGCAGCAGTCTGTAATATCTGGACTGTGGTACTAAAAGCCACATGGCCAGCCACTGGTTCTGATCCCCAGACTGGCCTGAAAACACTCTGGGCATGTGCAGGCGTCCAAGATCCTGACAAGCTGCAAGGCTGGGAGAGGGTATTATAACATGACAAGACCATGCCAAGGGTCTTTTCCTCTCTCTGTCTCTCTCTCTCTCTTGTTTATTCTCTTACTCTCTCATGAGCATAAACAGGCTCTCCATCACAGTTGTTTTAAAGGTCGGGGGGCCGGCAGGTGGTGTGGTAGTTAAGGGCACTGGACTCCCAAGTGGCCGACCGTGGTTGAGTCCCAGACCTGGCAGCTTGCTCTCTTTCTCTTACTCACTTTCTCACTCTGTCCCTCTCTGGTCAAAATAAAAATAAATAAATGGATAAATAAAGTTAAATAAAATAATTCTTTTTAAAAAAATGTAGGAAAAGTGTGTTTTATAAAATTCGGTACATATATGCTCAGTGTTATTTTTTTTTCCTCTATATTTTAGGATATGTCAGCATATGTGAAGAAAATCCAGTTTAAGTTACATGAAAGCTATGGCAATCCTTTAAGAGGTACTGTATAATCTTTCAATTCAAAGTATGCAAACTTAAAAACAACTGAGAAACTTAAATTGGTCATTTATAATGGTTTTTGTTTTTTTTTGTTTTTCCCTCTTCAGTTGTTACTAAGCCTCCATATGAAATTACTGAAACGGGATGGGGTGAATTTGAAATAATCATCAAAATATTTTTCATTGACCCTAATGAAAGACCTGTGAGTAATTTTAATTTTTATAAATATAAAATTGATTTTTAGTATATGTGAAAATGAAATAATACATAATACCTATTGTTCATTCAGGTATACTTTTTGAAAGCTCATAGCACAATAGGAAAATAAAACTGAAGAGTGTTCAGGTGTTCTGCCACAATAAGTTACAGTTGAAACAAGAGCTCGAATTTGATATATTTACCAAATTCTAGTCTCTGATGACAGGGGGAAGCCATTGCACAGATGTGACATCTTTTTTCATTTCACAGGTAACCCTGTATCATTTATTAAAGCTGTTTCAATCGGACACCAATGCAATGTTGGGGAAAAAGACAGTGGTTTCAGAGTTCTATGATGAAATGGTAAGATTTGATAATGAGAATACTGTGCACTCAGCCATGGTGGCATAGTGATGCTGCTCTGTCTGCCATGTTACAGCCGTCTGAAAGATTCAGGGGTTGGTTACTGGGTTGACCTGTATGTGCCAGGTATGCACACGTGTTTGTGATCCTGGGTGATTTGGAGGCATTACAGGGTAGGACCCTGTTGAGGGTGCTTGTCATTCTCTCTCTCTCTCTCTCTCTTACTGTCTCTGTCTCTCAAGAAATAAATAACCTTAAAAAGAGGCATTTTGAATTGGAGAACTTTGAAGTTACTGGGCTTTATTTCATTCTATCCCTTTAGATATTTCAAGACCCAACAGCAATGATGCAGCAGTTATTAACAACATCTCGTCAACTAACATTAGGAGCCTATAAACACGAAACAGAATGTAAGTGCCATGTATTTATAACTAATCCATAAAAATAGTGTATTCTATAATGAAGAAAGGACTTTATGATTAGTGGCCATTAAGCTTTTTTTGTAATATAGTAAATTTTTTAGGAGTTAAAAGCAAGTTATAGATTACAGTAGAACATGCACTATATACATGCTTTAAAAATCCATATTAGGCCCCACAAAGAGGTACAGCATCTCAATGTGAATAAGAAATTATAAAATAAAAATATAATTAGAGGATAATAGAAGATAAATGGTATTTCAGAGAACATGAGGGGCTGTCTTTTATCTTTTCGAAAGTCGGCCTTCTTTGGGGAAAGTTTAAGACATTCTTTTATATGTTCTACTGTGTCCTATAGCACAGTATTTAAATCGTGTGTGTTGAGAGTCAGATTCCACATTGCTGACTGTGTTTTGAATCCTGGCCCTGGCAGCTCGAAAAACATTCCAGGCACATGTGGGTGTATCCAGACATATCTAGCTGAGATGGAGGAAAAGGGTTTGACTGCATACACACACACCCCAGGGGGGTGTTTATTTTTTTCTCTTCCTCTCTCTGGTGAGTGCACGTGCCCTCTGGCAATTCAAAAAAAGGAGGGAAGCAGTATTGGACATGTTGGATGCAGGATGCATGTAAGACATGTAAGTGGAGAGGTTGAGAGAGGGGTATTGTACCCTACAGCCTGATATTCAAGAAGTGTAGTATAAGCTAAATATAAAAAGTTTATAGTATAGATGGAATTATAAATTGTGAGTTCAGTTGGTATCATCAAAGGAATGAACAAAGACAGAGAAGAGGTCCAAGGACTGAACCTTGGGCACCCTAACATTTAGAGGTCAAAGAGATTACCAGCAGGGCATTACGGGAGGACTGCATGTATGGAGGGAGAAAAATCAGGCTCATATGATGTCCTGAAAGCCAGAAAGAGTTATCAGCTGTATCCAATACTGTTGATAGGTCAAGTAAGGTGAGAGCTAAGAAGCTGGATGTAGCAAGATGGAGCTGTTTAAGAGCACATGGACAATACACATTATGAAAAGACTATATATGGATTTCAAAAAAAATTGTGTCAAGATAAACTTCTACTTCGGTTCCAGTTTCCAAAAACTTTTGAAGTCCCTTGATAGTAAAGACAAAAGATTAGTTAAAGTGGATAAGAGAAATGAGAGCAGTGGAGACCAGTGCTATAGACTTAAGGGTGAAGTAGCCTTTGGAGCAGTAGCTTAAGCAGGATGTGTGATCAAAAGGGTATTGTTTTCAAGAGGACATTTATTCCTAAGCTGAAAGGAGTGATAGAGTAAAAGAAGTAGTACAGTAGTTCAGGTAATTCAGAGGAAAAGGGAACTACTATTTAATGGGTAGCAGTTATAGCAGTGTTTTGTTTATATTTTCATGAAACCTATGACTAGGAGTTGAAAGATCTGGATGCTGGGCCATCCAGTGGCATGGCAGTTAAGGCATCTGAATTCCACATGGCCGATTGCATAGTTCAAGTCCCAGACCCAGAGGCTTGGGAAACACATAGCATGCTTGCTCAAAATCCCAAGTGGAGTAGGGAGGGGAAAGGAGTGAGTCATGGCCATCCCCCCTTGAGGGGTACTTTCTCACTTTCCCTCTCTCTTTCTGTCTTTCTCATATGAGCATAGGCACCCTGTAGCAAATTTTTAAAAAACCCGGATACTAATTATAAGTTTCCTATTTAGTAATATTGAAAATTTGTATACCTCAGTTTCTACATCTGCAAAAACATTTGACTGGCCTACTTTGTTATGAAACAGGTGTATGATCACTTTGAAAAGTAAAAATCACAACTTATTATTCTATTCTGTTATTGGTCACTTTCTCTCTTTGATAAATCTTCTTTCTTTCTTACCATAAAGTGTATGCAGTTCATAGAGGAAACTTCATTTATTTTTTTTTATTATTTATTTATTTATTTTTGGGGAGATTTTTGCTATAGGGCGCATGTACTCACCAGAAAGACAGAGAGATAGAAAGTGAGAAATCACCCCCCAGGGGGTATGGCTACGCCACAATCGCTTCTCCTCCGTTCTCCTCTCAGGATCTTGGGCACACACGTACACACGCCCAGCGTGAGTTTAAGCCACCCGGTTCAGGACTTGAACTGCAGTCAGCTACATGGGAGTTCAGCAACATAGCCATTACACTAAGTGCTGGTCCCCTTTATTTATTTTTTAAGAGAAACTTTTGCTATAGGGCTCATGGGCTCGCCAGAGAGATAGGGCAAGGCAGAGAGGCAGAAAGTGAAAAATCCCCTTCAGGGGAATGGCCACGCCACAATCTCTTCTCCTCAGTTATCTTCTTGGGATTTGGGGCACTCATGCACACGGAACCAGCGTGAGTTTTAAGATGCTGGGTGCATAACTCGAATGATGGCCTACTACATGGAGGTTCAGCAACATAACCATTATGCCATCTGCTGGTCCTGAGGAAACTTTTTTAAAATTGAAGTACTACAGTGTTTGTAGTTTCCAGACAACTAGTATCAAAAGGCTGTTTTACAAATCTTTTTTGATGTGTTAAAACTTTCATATGGAAGGCCTGGCATGTGGCATGAAGGCTAAGGCGCCAGACTCCCACGTGGCCGACTGTGGTTCAAGTTCTGGACTTGGTGGCTTGCTTTTTCACTCTCCCTCTCTCTGGTCAAATGGAGTAATAATAATAATAAGTATTAAAAAAATGAATTTTTTTTTAAATACTTACATATGGAGCCGTATATCTTTGGGAAGTTTTTATCAGTAAATTACATGGGTTTTTTTTGTTTTTTGAGAGGTTTATGCTATAGGGCGCGTGCACTCGCCAAACAGAGACAGACAGAAAGTGAGAAATTACCCCCCGGGGGGATGGCCACGCCACAATCCCTTCTCCATTCTCCTCTCGGGATCTTGGGCACGCATGCACACACGCCCAGTGTGAGTTTTAAGCCGCTGGGTCCGGGATGTAAACTGCGGTCAACCACATGGGAGTCCAGTGACATAGCCATTACACTGCTGGTCCCAGTAAATTACATGTTTTGAATTTAGTTCATTTTCTTAGTATCAAATCAGTAAGGAAGAAAAATCTAATTCCGTAAATGTTGTTGGCACAATTACCAGGAGGAAAGCCACACCGCAGTCCCTTCTTGGCCGTTCTCCTCTCGGGATCTTGGACACGCACGCACACACGCCCGGCATGAGTTGAAGCCACCAGGTCCGGGACTCAAACTGCAGTCAACTGCATGGAAGTCCAGTGACACAGCCATTATACCAACTGCTGATCCCACACACAGTATTTTTTTCAAGCTACTGGGCTCAGGACTGGAACCACACAGCCAGCCATGTGGGATCTAGCTGCCCCAATCACTATGCTGTTGGCTGTTGCCAGCCTGTTTTTGTTTTTGTTTTTTTTAAATTAGATTACTGGTGGAGACTGGCACATGGCACAGTGGTTAAGGTGCTGGACTTAACCACATCTCCAACTGCAGTTTGAATCCTGGACCTGTTGGCTTGCTTTCTAGTTTTCCCTCTCTGTATCTTTCTCTGGTCAAATTGAAAAAGTAACAATAGGGACCAGAGAGGGCATAGCAGTTACGTTGCTGGACTCCCACATGGCCAACCGTGGTTCAGGTCCCAGACACAATGGCTTCAGAATCACACTAGGCTTATATGTGTGCGTCCCAGGATCCCAAGAGGAGAAAGGATTACGGCACGGCCATCGCCTTTGGGAGTGATTTCTTACTGTGTCTGTCTGTCTTGCTCTCCAGTAAGCGCACATGCTCTAAGGCAAAAACCTCTTAAAAAATTAAATAAAAAATAATTCTTTAAAAAAAGTAGATTACTATCTACTCTGACTAGGGAAGTATTTCTAAATTTAATTAATTATAAGAAATCCCATTAAATAAAAGACAAATTAGAATTTATTAAATATATTTAACTCTTGTATTTCAGAAGGACAAAGAAGAAAAATGAATCCGCAAAAAGTATGCAAAAATTAGTATCTTTATTTATTTAAGAAATAAACCATAGGACACCAGCAGATGATGTAATGGTTATGTCGCTGGACTCCCGCGTAGTTAGCCACAGTTCAAGTCCCGTACCCGGGACTCATGCTGGGCACGTATGTGTGCGTGCCCAAGATCCCGAGAGAACAGTGGAGGAGAAGGGATTGTGGTGTGGCCATCCCCTCTGGGGGTAATTTCTTGCTTTCTATCTCTCTGTCTCTCTAGTGAGAGCATGTGCCCTACAACAGAAATCTGTAAAAAAAAAAAAAGAAGAAAAAGACGACTGGATCCCATATGAGTAACTGTGCAATTTGAGTCCCAGACACAGCAGCTTAAAAAACACACTGGTTGTATATATGTGCATGCCCCAAGTCCTGGGAGGAGAAGGGATTGCAGCATGGCCATCCCCCCGGTGGGTGATTTCTCTCTTTCTCTTTCTCTGACTCAGCCTTTCCAGCAAGTACATGTGCCCTTTAGCAAAAAATGTCTCCATAAATAAATAAATAAACAAACAAACCCTGGGCCAGCCAGGTAGCATGGTGGTAAAGGCAGCTGGATCCCATGTGACTAAGTGTGCAATTCGAGTCCCAGACCTGGAAGCTGAAAAAATATGCCAAGTGACTGTGCTTGCATGTCCAAAATCCAGAGAAAAGAATGGAGGAGAAGGGATTGTGGCATAGCCATCCCCTGTGGGAGGTGATTTCTCATGTGTTCTCTCTCTCTCTGGCAAGTTCTTATGCCCTGTAGTAAAAACTAAAATAAACAAACACTAAAATGATAAATAGAAAAAAATTTAAATTTCAATAAATGGCCAAAAGACTGTACAGATGAATGAAAGAAAAGGTGACAAATAAATAAAACAGAAAAAGACTTGGTCCTGCTAGTAATTTTACAAACAAAAAACAAACAGCAATGTATGACAATATTTCAGATTGGCAAAAGGAGTTTTTAAGAGTTGTACATATTAAGGTTGTGGTGAACCTTACCTTCT